CCGGTTAATGGTCCACCAAACCTCGCTCTTAGCCCCACCATGTTCCTATAAACGAGACAGTGTAAATTAAATGAATCCCCGCCAAGTTAAGCCAAGTTATTCATAAAATTTTGATGCATGACAAAGTTTCAGCCCGGACACTTTTGTGTGTACCTATTAATTCTAATTGTGACAATGTGAAACTTCAAAATGTTAGTGTGACCTTGACCTTTGATGTAGGAACGTTATTCTTGGACGCGACACATCGTCTTGATGTGGTAGACTTTTGTGCCTAGTTATAAGCTCGACTTTTTTTTTTGAAAAAAATAGTAGAGGTATTGTTATAGTCAGGTCGGCGTTGCCGTTGCCGTTGCCGTTCCCGTCCGCAAACTTGTACCTGGATCATAACTTTTTTTATTTCTTGGTGTATTGTCTTCATACTTGGCCACTACAACCCTTGGGACAAAACCTTTCAGTAGACCACACTAACCTTGACCTTCATCCATAAATGACCTTGACCTTCAAGGTTAAAAGTCCAATTTTTGCTTGTTCATGCTGTTATTGGCTGTAACTTTGTTATTTTTGAATGGATTGTCTTCAAACTTGAACATAATAATCTTCAAGGATATCCCTTAAAAATAACCCGCCAGACCTTGACCGTCACTCATAAATGACCTTGACTTTGAAGGTCAAATTATTGAAATTTTCATTTTTTTGGCTAATATTGGCTGTAACTTTGTTATTTTTGAATGGATTGTCTTCAAACTTGAACATAATTATCTTCAGGGATATCCCTTAAAAATAACTAGACAGACCTTGACCTTCACTCATAAATGACCTTGACTTCGAAGGTCAAATTATTGAAATTTTCATTTTTTTGGCTATTATTGGCTGTAACTTTGTTATTTTTGAATGGATTGTCTTGAAACTTGAACATAATAATCTTCAAAGATAACTGTTAAAAATATACTTAAAGAACTTGACCTTCACTCATTCATGACATTGTCTTTGAAGGTCAAATTATTGAAATTTTCATTGTATTGACGGTAACTGACTGTAACTTTGCTATTATTGAAGGGACCAACTTCATATTATAACAGAACATTCTTAAGGACCAGACCTCGTTGTTTATCAAACCCAAATTTGCTTGGGCTCTTTAATGACCTTGACCTTGAAGGTTAAATTACTGAATTTTCTCAGATTTGTGCATTAAATGACCATAATATATATATTTTTTGGTGTGTGTGTGTATATATATATATATATATATATATTTACAACAACAAGAATTGCGTCATTGTTTCTATTTATAGAATTGCGTCAGTTTCTATTTTTAGAAATCGCGTCATTGTTTCTATTTTTAGAAATTGTGTCATTGTTTCTATTTTTAGAAATTGCGTCATATTTTCTATTTTTAGAAATTGCGTCATTGTTGTTATTTTTAGAAATTGCGTCATTGTTTCTATTTTTAGAAATGGCGTAATTGTTTCTATTTTTAGAAATTGCGTCATTGTTGCTATTTTTAGAAATTGTGTCATTGTTTCTATTTTTAGAAATGGCGTCATTGTTTCTATTTTTAGAATTGCGTCATTGTTGCTATTTTTAGAAATGGCGTCATTGTTTCTATTTTTAGAAATTGCGTCATTGTTGCTATTTTTAGAAATTGTGTCATTGTTTCTATTTTTAGAAATTGCGTCATTGTTTCTATTTTTAGAATTGCGTCATTGTTGCTATTTTTAGAAATTGCGTCATTGTTTCTATTTTTAGAAATGGCGTCATTGTTTCTATTTTTAGAAATTGCGTTTAGAAATTGCGTCATTGTTGCTATTTTTAGAAATTGCGTCATTGTTGCTATTTTTAGAAATTGCGTCATTGTTGCTATTTTTAGAAATTGCGTCATTGTTTCTATTTTTAGAAATTGCGTCATTGTTTCTATTTTTAGAAATTGCGTCATTGTTGCTATTTTTAGAAATTGCGTCATTGTTTCTATTTTTAGAAATTGCGTCATAGTTTCTATTTTTAGAAATTGCGTCATTGTTTCTATTTTTAGAAATTTCGTCATTGTTTCTTTTTTTTAGAAATTTCGTCATTGTTTCTATTTTTAGAAATTGCGTCATTGTTTCTTTTTTTAAAAATTGCGTCATGTTGCTATTTTTAGAAATTGCGTAATGTTGCTATTTTTAGAAATTGCGTAATGTTTCTATTCATATATATATACAAAATATATAAACAAAACTAATGTGACAAGACAGACCAACTAAATTTATAAAAAGGAAACGTTAAGATATGTTCAAACCTTTCTATGTTTGCGTTTAGAAAAAGTAAAAAGTCGAGCGTTGCCCCCGCCCGGCGGTGGCTCTTGTTTTAAAATCAGTTGTTGCATGATAACATTACAGCCCGTACACGTGTGTGTGTACCGATTTGTGTGTACGTGTGTGTGTACCGGACACGTGTGTGTGTACCACTGGCTCTTGTTACTGGGTCGGGTGGAGGCTGCGTTCATTGAACGCCGCCTTTCTTGATGATCTTGATTATCATATTTTTTACTCTAATTGCGATAATGTGAAACTACAAAATGAAAGTTTGACCTTGACCTTTGAGGTAGGGAAGTGGTTCTGGCCTCTGGGACGCAAAACATCGATTTGATGTGGTAGACATTTGTGCCAAGTTATTCTAAAATCCCTCAATGTATGACAAAGTTACAGTCCGGACACGAATAAAGTGGGGACGCACAAACAGACGACGGACTGTGCGATATTAATATGCCTCCCTTCGGGGGCATAAAGATGTAATATTTCTGGCTGCAAAGTGCGAGTTTCTTCGATTTAAATTTTTACTGGGATATGAATCTTCTCCGGGACGCATACCTTATTTCCGGGACGACGTTTTGTCATGTATGTGAATATATGCTGATGAAATCTTTACGATACCAAGATTCAAGAGTATAACATTATATTACAACATGTGTTTTCAAAAAAAATCTGAAAACAAAGTGATCCCTCGGAAGCATTTTAACAAAATTACAAGAGAATTGCAGATTCGGTTTGATACATAAAGGATAATGAATACGTGCAACATCCCTCACGCCACCTAGCACCGGCTAGTCATACAAAAATGATTTTATCAAGGGCAAGCAACATTGTCACATTGCTTATTATTGCATTGCAATAATTTGTATTTGTCCTTAATGTTATTAATAAGGAGGGAAATGAATACGCATATTTTACAATTTATTCCTAAATGTCTTACATTTTGCAGCAAATTGTCTCGGAATGTCTAGCTTTTTTGTTCTTTTTTATATTGGACATCAATTATGACATATTAACACACCTGAAATTATATCAAGAATATATTTATGAATTTACAATTGTACATAAGGGATTAATTTATACACGAGTCATTTGTATTGTACATAAGATGAGATGCTACTTTGTATGCCCCCGCAAAGTGGGGAGCATATAGCGTTGCACTTGTCCGTCCGTACGTACGTCTGTCCGTACGTCCCGAAATCTTGTAACCGCAACTCCTCTAAAACCGGATGGCAGATTTTGCTGAAACTTCCAGGGATGAACAACCTTAATAGGTAGATGGTAGTAAAGGAAGGAACTTTTGCTGCAACCAAATTTTACGGAATTATGGCCCTTTATTGATTTTTTCACTATATACCATATAAAAACTTTGTGAACGCAACTCTTAAACCGGACGGCAGATTTTGCTTAAACTTCCAGGGATGAACAACCTTAATGTGTCGATGGAAGTAAAGGAAGAAATTTTTGCTGCGACCAAATTTAACAGAATTATGGCCCTTTGTTGATTTTTTCACTATGTACAATATAGAAATTTTGTGAACGCAACTCCTCTTAAACCAGATAGTGGGGAGCATATAGCGTTGCACTTGTTTTCAGTTTTGTTAGAGTAATTGCCCTTGACCCACAGTAGTATAAATTTGCAATTTTCAACTTGTTCATGGATAGCTCAAAAAGTATTTCCTTTGTAGGCCTGAAAGTTTGCAAGAATGTTGGTCAGCATGTGTACTTATGCACCTTGGAGTTTGCTTGTGGATTTATTCAGTATTTGTAAAGTCATTGCCCTTTACTTAGTAACAGATTGTTAGTTTTCAAAAAATATTTGACCTAGAGTCATGATTGACAGAACAGTGGCGCGGTTGGGACATTCATGTCCTATGGATACATTTCTAGTTCAACCTCAGATCTACTATTTGTAAGGAATGAATGTCATAAAGTTAAGTTGTACACAAACCAGGCATGCAGACAATGCCATATAAAATAGCTGGAGAGGTAAGTTAATTGTGGAAAAATGGCATTCCCTAAACCCAGTCCGAACTGCAAATAGATAATTACAAAGAAACTATTTTGGTTTTAAAAGTTGTCTTAATTTGTGGCAATAAAGTGTTAAAAACAGTTAATTACATCATATACAATCATGTAATAATAAATGACCACATTGATTTTTTACATTTAAACTTGAAATTCGATTAGAGGTATACCAGCCTACACATAAAACTAACTTGAAAGATCCCCAGATAACTCCACCACTTTTTCGACATGGACTCTGTGGAATAAATGATCTTTTCCTTTCATATCTGGCCCTGTGTTAGTAACACAGTACATGTAGAGGCCATTTGTGTAGAATTTATAGGTGAAACCTAATACGACTACTTGAAATATAATTTCTTTCTTTTATTTTCATTTTAACATTTGAGGCCATATTGCTCTAAGAATTGTATAGAAAGGGAAGATAATGAGATTGAAGATTGACAACAAACATTTTTTAGCTAAAATGATGAAATGTTTGCCATGTAAACTTTTTATAAGTGTGAAATGTTTTCGTTATAACCGTTTAGTTTCTATTGAAAACAACCTCAGTTTTTCATTGTCAACTGTTCAATGCTTATGGCAACAGTGAATTAACTTGTAACACAATTTTCATCGAGATACCATGCATTTCTTCTTATTATTTATCTTTCAAAATAACAATAACATTTCAATTGTAAAACTTACAACTTGTTGGGTTGCATAAGGCTGTCCTAGTTGACCACAAGGAGGTTGGCCATATGGTGGTTGTCCTGGTTGACCATAGGGTGGTTGTCCTGGTTGACAATAGAGCGGCTGTCCTGGTTGTAGATAGACTGATTGTCCATAGGGTGGTTGTCCTGGTTGTTCATAAGGTGTTTTCTCTGATTGTTGGACCGGCTGGTATCCACCTGGATGCCCTCCCTTTGCGTGCTCATGAGATGGTGGTCCCTGGTTCAACTCTTAAAAAAGAATGCTAAAATTATTTTTAGAGATATAAGCATAAGTCTCTTATGCTGCATAACAGTTTTAGAAAAGAGAATAATAGAACCCCTAAAGAAAGATCTACACGGCACATTTGAAAATGTTGCAGGCTCGGTTTGATTGAGCATGTTCATGGACCGTTACCGTCCACGCCCCCTAGCACCGGCTTAAGCAGAATTCAACATTTACATTTAAACACGAAAATGGTGAAATTTTGAATTTAGAAACATCCACAGATGTGTTCAAATGGCGGTTAGAAAAAAAAATCTGGAAACATCCATTTTGTTTAGTTCTGCCCATTGTTTTCTCGTTTATGGCAAACGCTTTCTATTACTTGGGGACCATACACCGCTTTTCATCTTGTGTCACATTTAAAGTTCCATGATAACCGCCGTATGAACACATCTGCGGATGTTTCTAAATTCAAAATTTTGCCGTTGCTTCTTTAAATGTTGAATTCTGCCTAAGCCGGTGCTAGAGTACGTGGACGGTAGTTTGCATTTGACAGTACCGTCCATGAACAGGCTCAAACAAACCGAGCCTGCAACATTTTCAAATGTTCTCAATTTAAAGACTATATTTAATATTTTATATGTCACTTTCGTATTTTTCAATGTGGGCGAAAGAAATATCTCAAAACTTGTGTATAGAATTAATGCAAATAAATGGCGATTTAATATCATAATTATAATTATTTTTTGAAAATAAATATTAAAAATTTCTAATGATATACGTCTACAAACTGTAATTTTAGTATACATTTCAATTTAAACGCTATATTTTATATTTTAAAAGTCACTTTCGTATTTTTCAATGTGAGCGAAAAGAAGATCTCAGAACTTATGTATAGAAATATGCAAATTAATGGCGATTAAATAATCATAATGATTATTTTTGAAAATAATTATTATAAGTTTCTTATAATAAACCTATACAAACTGCATTTTACCTAAAATTCTATTTAAATGCTATCATTCATATTTTAAAGTCACTTTCGTAAACAAAGTCACTTTCGTATTTAAGGCATATCGGTTTCATACTGTACCAATATACAATAATTGCACTTACCTTGGTTTTCACTCATTCTTAGTACTTTAGTAAATGCACTCCTATTTTGTTGTTAGTATGTACAATGTGTGTCCCAAATACTCGACAGTTTTTGTTTTTATTTCAGATCACGACGCATGTGCAACTTTCCGAGTGATGTTAGAGGTTAGTTGATGCTTAAATTTTCACTACAAAATAAAATATGTGAAGTCAAACAGGTGTATATATTCCAGTAAAATTACTAAAAGATTCTAGATTCGAACAGCTCGAATAAAGGAAATTTACGAAAATTCCAAAACATTCTGTAGACATATAAATAGTTCTTGCTTCAAAAACTTTAAACGCCGCTTTTTTACATTTTATCTTTCGCCTGATGCAGCATTAAAGTTTTAGATCTGACCAGTTATGAAACCTTACCAGAATAAAACACGTTGGAGAAACCTTGTTAAATTTGCATATATCCTTTCCCTTATTTATTCTAGCGCATTATCCGATGGAAATATCATTTAAAGATCGTTCTAGACTATTTAAAATATTGAAATATTAATACTGCTAATAATATTGCATATCATACTGCGAAACATCAATAAAACCGTCTGATGTCGACCATGACACTAAGGAGTCACGCGATACCATGTATGAAGTATTTGGGGGGAAAAGCTTTAATACTTGCAAGTACAATATTTTTCAGAGTGAACACCAGAAGCTTGTTACATTTCTAAAATGGTGTATAATAACATCGACTTTCTTTTCCTGAAGAAGCAATATTTACATATATGGTGGCATTTATTTTTCCCTGTCATTCCATTTAGATATGATATTTTCATCCGGCTACAGTACAATGAAAATAATATTTCATACATTTCACTAGTGGTTTATCAGAATATAATCAACTATATAACTTAGCCATGCACTTAGAGCAATGATGATGGTGATGAATTGGTAAACTGCCAAAAATGCCTAGGACAGTGGCCCGTGCTTTGTATCTGGAGATGCCGTGCTTCTTGAAATATTCCAGCAAATTAGCTTGCAAACTATCCTTTCTATTGGGAGTAATCGTATTTAAAGAGAAAATTATAACGAAATAAAGTATTGTCACTTACTTGTTCTCACAGATCATTAAAAGTAATGAAATAAGCTAATCTTATGATCATTTTTTTGATAACATATGAATTTAATTACATTAAAGTAACTTTAAATAAAGATGTAAAAATATTTTGCCTTCGGCCTAAAAACCAAGCATTCTACAGTTTCATTAACCTTTTTAACAGTATTGTTGTAAATCTCTTAAAAAATTGTTCATAAATTACGATTTTTAACGGAAAATCCTACAATAACACTAAAGTTCGTATACGAATTTTAACCTGCAAATGAAGACTGTAATCAGAACGTGTATGCGCTACGTCACAGTGTTAAAGTTGTTATCCGGAACACAGCAAATATGAGATTTTCATGTGCAAACACACTTTAACCGTTTTAGCTCCACGGTGCATTAGGCAAACTATAAAAAACATTTGTATGGAAACATCTGTTACAAATGCGGAAATATTTTATAAAAATAAATTGTCTCTTTTCAGTATGTTAAACAGCTTACAGCAGTTAAAAATACAATATTTGCATTAGAGAGAATATATCCTACTTTATTAATGTCTGAGAGAGTATCAAAACCATTGTTAGGCATTTGTGCTTCTCGAATCGAATCATCTAGTCTTTCTAATGGTATCATATAGGGAAATTAAATAATACATGCTCTTCTTAATCTACAATAGTTTGACATTGGGAACACAATCGAATCGTTGTGCCACTGGTACACTATAGTAGCGTCCTAGGTCTATACTTATTGGAGCTGTGCCACTGCGAAATTTAGCTAAGGCACCCCTATGTGACTTATTCAAAAGTAACTTACAATAAGTTTTAGTTTCAAAATTACTCTTGAATGTTTTATATAATCTTAATTTCTTTCTTCCAGTACCATTTCGGGATGATTCTTGTTTAACAGTGCAATACCAATTTCACCATCAATACCAACCCCACTGCCCTTGGCTTTCAATTTCATTTTGTATGTTCCTCCTATAGGCACTTGATGACAAAACGTTTTTGATCGACTACCTTTCGCGACCGACTACCCGCTGTGATTTTGATTAACTTTTATCTATAACACACACACTTATTAATTCAATAAAAATCTAGCGACAAAACTTCTTTTTAAAAAATAGATATATCTAGTATCTACTGTGTATGCATGTATAAGTTGTTAAAAGGTATGTTTCTCGCCATGTTTTCAAGCAACAGAACTGACGTCAGAATATATTAACTGAACTGTAACCACACTCGATAACTGAAATAGTATAAGTTTTATTGCTGCCACATATTTCAGCTTTTAACAATATTTTCATATTGTTTTAAAGATCCTGTAACTCAATATTTTTTGGTTTTATACAGACCTTGGGTAATCATTAATTGAAATCATTGATTTTTCAATATTGATTACATTATTACTGTTATCATCATGTAATTGATTCCCTTGCCCAAAATTGATTAATTTAATTGTAATTAATCAATTACAGCTAAAATTCAGTCAATAATTATGATTACAATTTTACTGACATTGATTACTTTCAAATTTAACAGGAAACTATTTTAATTCAAAGGATGCCTTCTGTTTTAGCCATTTTTTAAATAAAAACAGCATGTATCTTAAGCTACAAATTAATATAAAAGACACTATAAAAGTACGCTTTGCTATCGGATGAGAGGAAAACATATTTATGAAGAAATTGAACATAAAATTATCTTTGGTCAGAATTCAGAATCAATTATTATGTGATGTACATAATAATAACTTATCAAATAAAATTTAATTCTTTACAAAATAAATTTGCTAAAACCATTATTGAACCACTCTAAAATTCATCTTCTCACCATATTTCAAACAATGATCCAACGATAAAAGTTTTTCACACCTTGTGAAATTAAGTGTCATGCAAATCATTCAAGCAGATCATAACAATACATTTAAGATCTAGATAGCTGTTGACTTTAATATTTGTGGTCTCAATAGTTGGGTCAAATTAAGAATAAAGCAAAGAATTTAGATTGAATCAGCCCGTCTTAAAAGTTGATAAGGGGTTGTTTCTTATTCTGGATCATGTAACCATTGACATAAAGAACCTTGTAAAAATAGTCTTATTAAGGGGGTGGTCTTAATTTAGGGGTGGTCTTAAGTAGGGATTCTACTTTACATTAATGTTACAGTAATAAATTATCAATCAATTACTTTCTTTTTGTAAGGCAAGTGTGAGTAATCAATCTTAATCAATTACAATACAACCTGACAGTAATTGTAATTAAATCAATTACTGATCAAGGTAATCATCCCCAGGTCTGGTTTTATACCATAAATATAATGTTCAAATGAAAATTTATTAATGTTGTTAGTTCCTAAAAGAATTAATAGTAAAGATATTACGGAATTTACATTTCATGTTAATAAAAGGAGGTTATGTTTTTCTATAAAGTCTAAGTGAATTTTTTCAATAAGAAATGAATGCATATATTTTAATGATTACATAAAATATAGACAAATATTTGCAATACAAATTTTACATATTCCTAGATGTTTGAATTTTTTAGAAGAATTATATAGATATATAAGATTTCACTTAAGTGTGATGACAGCCAGAATTACAACATACAGGGTCTTTAAATGATTTTTCTTAATTTATGATCATGTTCACAGTCTCACATAATTCTTTTAGAGTCGTTTTGTACACATATTTCCTTTCTAACGTTGTTATATTTTGTTAATATATGTACAAAAGTGAGACTTAAATAAAGAAAAAATTGTCTTGTCTTGTACACTCCTGATAGTAAATATTATCAAGGTGAAATTTATCAGTGTGTAATAATTGCGGTAATTAAAATCTAATAATGATTGGCATAACTTGACAAGGTTGACTTAATTCTTTTAATATTCATGATTGTGAATAGGCCTTTGATTTTTCAAAGAAAATAAAGATGCTTCAATAGTTGAAACGTAACGGAATGTACTCTCAAATAATTTAACAATACATTAGGAAATCAAAGTAGCATAAAAATAGGCATTTGGCACAATTATGTTAATCAAAAACATACAACTGATAATTGACATTCTCAGACAGGAAATGAAAAAAACTACTAGAAGATGATTTCAAAAAATCAATTATTGGACCTGAAGACGTGAAAGGTATGTAGAAATAACCAAGTTCAATACAAATATTCAATTTCAATGTAATAGCGTTGTTATAATTGAATTTAACGACCGAAAACGAACTTTACATGGACGTCAAACATTAATTTTGATGCCTACGAGTTGGCCGAGACAATACCTTTGTCTATATTTCTTTGAAAAGTGAATCTAGGAATTGCAACTGCAAAGTGTTGTAAACTTGTTTAACAAATATGATAATATGCCCTCGTATTTAATATCTTCTGAGCTTGCCGTAAAACAACGTGACACCGTAAATATCATATTGTGTTTATTTTATGTTCGTGTTTATATGTAATAGAGTAAATACCATCACTCCTGTTAATTTTATGAGATACAATTCTTATTGATTGTTGATATACCTTTTTGACAAATATAAATCGGCTTAATGATGAATTAAGCCGTATACTAATATCGATTCAAAGAAAATCAGGATAGTTTTTAATATTATTATCAAACACCAATTTATAGACATGTTTATCAAAATTGTAATCTTCAATAAATAGTTGTTCTATTTTAGATACAGTTAATATATATCAATGTTCATATTTGAATAGTCCTAATAGAACCGAAATCAAGTATAATTGTTCACCGTATCATGATTATCTGGCGATCTTGCAAATGAACTGAAACGGCATAGAAATATACCATGAAATGAAATATTTAAATATTTTCCGGTGCAAATCCTATTAATTTAAAATCATTTCACCTTTGCACTGCATTACTTTAATTAGCATATTTTTATGTGTCTTTCCTTTTCAAGTGAATTAGTATTAAACAAACGCCGTGAGCCGTAACATGACATTATCTTAAGAAAGGAAGCTATCCGAAACTCGGGATTGTTAGTTTTCATTTACAGTCCGGGGATACATACATTCAACCTTTTATCTGTTCACACCATATATCCACATGGCTTTATGTTTTTAAAAGCCGCGCTATTAAATAACACAGTAAAGAAAAAATACTCGTGAATTGTGCAAATATTTAGCCTAAACCGACACAACGCAAAATAATGAACCAATATATCTTTATAATAAGTCGAGTTGAAAGAACAAATCTAACTGTATTTCATCTATCGTGTAACAATTCCTGACCGGTGAAAGTCAATAAACCGTTAAAATATCTTGAAAAGAAAAATTATAACATAAAAATGTTTATATTTTACCTCATGCCGCTGAAGTTTGTCCAATGTCCCTTTCAATATGACAAAAACTATTATGATATTTACTTTTTAATCTAAAAATGGTTTGCTGGTTATAGACCAAATGTTGCAATGGTTTGACATGCTACTCAACTGAAATTGATTTTCCAAGCAACCGATTCGATCAATATTAAACCAAGAGCCATTGTTGCATTTAATTATGCATTCGTTTTATGCCTCCAAAACGCGCCTTAATATCCAGGACGCGAGTTATTCTTGAACACACATGGAATATAAACAAAGTTTTAACGTAAAAGGAAACGCAAAACGCAAACCCTGACATGAAAGTACATAAACAATTCAGTTTAATTTAAGTTTAAATTAATTGTTAGGTGTTACTGTAAAGTTAAAAACGGCTCTGTTATCAAAACAATGTTATATTCAAATTCTTTCAGCCGGAACGAATGTGATGGGGTAAATATCAGAACTCAGGCATCTAAGTCATTTAACCAATAACGTCAGTGAAAAAAATAGCCCAAACCGGTGCTGTCTTGGACATTCGCTAATGATGGCTATTATTTTCGGGATGTTTTCAGCGGCAGGTAACTCATTGAACAATTAAACGTGCTTATTTCGTATTTTATGGATATATAAAATGTTACTTGTTCAAAATAGCGTATTGCAAATTGGGTATGTCGACATGTGTTAACGAAAGAATTCTGGTTGTCATTATTCCGGGGACCTAGAAAGGTCCCGGGTGTTCGTAGTATTCTAGAAGTCTAATATAAAACCATATACATCGTATAATCATAAAATTCATGATATTGATTAAAGTTTTGTGATAAGATTTATTACATTTTGATCAATTGAGTAGAATACATGGTTGCACACGCCTGACTATAAATATGTTTCTCGGAATTCAATAGGTCTTAATAAATGAACTAATATCGATTAAACCTCGCCTGGCTTATTATGGTGCTCGTATGAACCTGTGTGGCTTAAATTTCTTGTTCAGAGCTAAAGTGAAGTGTGTCATTATTAAAGAAGTGGAACATGCAGTTTTATAATCTTCCTTCCAATAAAAGCATAGAACAAAAAAATCCTTGGCCCATACACACATTGTAGGAATTATATTTCTTAATTAAGTTAACTTATAATCACAGAACGTTCATTACCTGATTTGTCTGTTTGTATTTACTCTCAAAATATTTTATGGTTTTATTTTTTAAGAATATTAACGTCATTCTAAAATCATTACAAAAACGGATTTGCAACAACATGTTTCAGAAAAATGTTTATTAACCGTATATTTTTCAAGCGAGATAAGATTGAAATAATTGCAGATGTTTTCAAAAAGTTTTCACAGATTCCATAGTAAATAGTGTGCGTCTTCCCTGTACAACCCTGAAAGAGAAACATACTACCAAGGATTTAAACCAATTTTGCTCATCGGAGGATTTGCTGAATCAGAAATGTTAAAAAATACAAGAATAAAGATCAATAAGGTAAAGGCAACGTTCACAGGACGCAGCCCCAGGCACACTAAAGTAGGGCACCCAGAAGACACCCAACACAAATCTGTAGTGGACATAAGGGCGGCGAAAGGAGAGGGACATGTAATGTGTGAAATAATATAAACTTAAACGGGCCCATATGGGAATGAAATGGATAAGGGCTGTAAGGGTGAAAAGGGGAAGGGGCAAAATAATGGGAGGGGTGAGAAAATACCTACCGTAAACGACAATCCAACAAGGAAGACATCATAAAACATGTAAACAGTCAAAAACAAGTAACAATACAGACGTGAAAACACGTGAAGGAACACAGAGGGGTTACGCCTTGGAAGGGTCAGTGGTGGTTAAGCCACTGGGGAGTGTAAACAGGTTTAAGGCACGCCAAACCTTACTCTTAGCCCCAATATGTTCCTGAATGACACGAACGTGTAAATAAAATTAATCCCCGCCAAGTGAAATTCTAACAATGGCCTAAGTTACATTAGACGAAATAAACAAACCACATAAAAATGTGTAAATATGTAGAAAAAGGTACAAGCTAATGACCATTAGTACTCGATGCCTTAAAGAAAGGCAGAGCAACAAGAAAATCACATACAAGGGCCCTATCAAATCGAGATACGAGCAGCTTTTTCAGATACACGTGTTGTATTTAAAGGGGCTGGTTTGTTTGGACACGACCCAAAAATGGCAAAATCTCGTATCAGCAAATACACCTATGGTGTTGAGGTCCATGCTCCGTTAAACGAAGATTAGATGTTTGAAGAAGGAATATACAAATGCGGTATTTGTTTGATCCATTTGTTCGTGCTTGACAAGTTGTTCTGTTTGATGACGTGGTACGGAATAGTTGTACGTCAAATATTATTGACGGCGAGGAAGGTGTAGATATCGCTTAAGCCATATAATTTTCAATATGTCATTGAAGAAAACTGCTATTAACTTAATAATATTGATCTCCATGAACCTGACAATGAAGATGAGATGCAGTTTGTAGGGACAAAGTCCTTTGTGCATTTTACATACCTAAACCTTGGAGTGAAAAGATATGACTGCTTTTATTTTCTTAATCTTTTACATTCTAAATGACATAACGTTGTTGTAAAGTATCACTTATGAATTTACAACTTAATCCATGAACGTGAAAACAGGCCTAACTCACCAGATGTTCTAGAAAGTGTTAAAAATTTAAGTAACTAAAGGCTAAATAATTTCTGATATGTGAGCATTGCTAATGATATTACATTTATCGCCATGAACGAGAGATCATTACATATATCATGTCATTTGCTAAAAAAAACCCGGCGCCGGCATTATCACTTATTTACCTTTATAACATAACTTTAGTATGATACATTCTATATCTTCTCATGGCTTATGTTACAAAAACACTGCTGCACATTGAATATCTACATTATAACGAAAAATCGTCATACAATCCTCAAACCATTTTAATTTATTAAACAACGATCCCAAAGGTTATGAAAAATATATGAGATACAGTACGCGGCAACATTTTTTCTTTTTTCAAGAAGAGATCACTCGGAGTAAACAAATATAATTTCTGTCTGTTTATGAGACATAACGTCAAGTGCAACATATTTTCAGCTTAGGTATGCAATCCTAAACACTTTTAGTATTGGAATCGATTGCCTAAAGGACCAGAAAAAATAACACCACTGAGTGAAAAAAATGAGGCGGCAATTTACAACTGTCACACAGCACTAATTTTCTGCTTGCCCTTTTCAAACCAAAGATCCCTCAAGAGCAATGAAAACAAGAGCACATTTGACTTATCTTTATCACTTATTTGTATGTTTAAAAAGTTATCACCCCTGACTTTCTTTGTTTGTTTTACTAACAACCTGGATCAAGCCTTTGAGATTATTTATAACGGACCAGTGTCACTATTAAGAAGAAATACCTAAAATTTCATACTGTTATAAATAATTTTGCTTTGATATGTTCTTATTACAATGAAAATCAATCTTTCTAGCAAAAGTCTATATTAAAAGATGATCAATATGTTCACATTACCTTTATAATCGAAAAATATGAAAATAGTTACAAAATACACATACAATATACATGTAGATGAAATAACAGGAACATAAAAATGCATCAGTATAATTACATTAATAATGAAATAAATTTGCAGTATAAAATTAACATAATAAGAATTGTGCAATAAATGTTAAAAACAAGAGCCCGGTTTGAGCCGGGTGATGCTCCCCGAATAGGTTTTGGACACAGGAAAGTACACCTCTTGTAGTTTCAGAGTTATGTCCGTAGAAAAAGTTCAAAGTGCAATAATTCCAAAATTAGGCAAGGCAGAGTTACAGTTCTTTGCACTGCACTTCTAATCAATGTGATCTATCAACCTACAAATTTCTTGACGATATCTCTTATGATTTCCGAGTTATGTCCTGGACAATTCAAAAAGTAAAAATAAACAAAGGGCAATAACTCCAGAATTAGGCAAGGTAGAGTTATGATTCTTGTGCACTGCACATCTACTCATTGAGATTTATCTACCTACAAAGTTTCATGTTGATATCTCTTATAGTTTTACAGCTATGTCCTGGAGAAGATTTTTCTAAAAGGGGAGATTATTCAAAAATAAGGCTTAACAGAGTTATGGTTCTTATGCACTGCACCTCTACTCAAAGAGATCTATCTACCTACAATGTTTCATGTTGATATCTCTTATAGTTTTAGAGTTATGCCCCGGACAAGATTTTTCTATAAGGGGAGATAATTCAAAAACCAGGCAAAATAGAGTTATGGTTCTTTAACACTGCACTCCCCCTCGATGCCCTCTACCACTGTATGAAGTTTCAATAAATTATCTCCAAGGGTTTTCAAGTTATGTTCCGGACAAAGTTCAAGTTCAAAGTATTAAAATAAACAAACGACAATAACTCCAAAATTAGGACAAAAAAAGTTATTGTTCTTATGCACTGCACATCTACGCATTGAGATCTATTCACCTACAAAGTTTTATGTTGATATCTCTTATAGTTTTAGAGTTATGCCCCGGACAAGATTTTTCTATAAGGGGAGATAATTCAAAAACCAGGCAAAATAGAGTTATGGTTCTTTGACACTGCACTCCCCCTCGATGCCCTCTACCACTGTATGAAGTTTCAACAAATTATGTCCAAAGGTTTTCAAGTTATGCTCCGGACAAAGTTCAAAGTATTAAAATAAACAAAGGGCAATAACTCCAAAATTAGGATGAAAAGAGTTATTGTTCTTATGCACTGCACATCTACCCATTGAGATCTATTCACCTACAAAGTTTCATGTTGATATCTCTTATAGTTTTAGAGTTATGCCCCGGACAATACTTTTCTATAAGGGGAGATAATTCAAAAACGGGCAAAATAGAGTTATGGTTCTTTAACACTGCACTCCCCCTCGATGCCCTCTACCACTGTATGAAGTTTCAACAAATTATCTCCAAGGGTTTTCAAGTTATGCTCCGGACAAGACAACGGACGGACAGACGGACGGACGGACAGACGGACAAGGCGCCGACTATATGCTCCCCCGAAATTTTTCGGGGAGCATAAAAACGATATACATATAATATACTATAAGTAACAAATATCAAATACAATAG